TCCTCTTTCTCTCTCCCTCCTCTTTCTCTCCTCTGCCTCCCTCTTCTCTCTACTATTGGGACCTGAATTTTTGTTGCTACATAAGGAAGTTGCTAGGTAAGTCACACCCAATTTTCCCACCAATTTGCCATGTTGTTAATTGAAACTCCCGGTTGTTAAGTGAATCACACGGCCATTAAGTGAATCCAGCTTGTCCCGTTGACTTTGCTTGAAGGAAAGCAGGTGGCAAAATCGTAAACAGTGACCTGGGGGGGCTGCAAACAGTTGTACACATATGCCGGTTGCCAAGTGCCTGAATTTTGATCACATGACTGTGGGGACGGCTGCCAAAGACGTGTGAAGACCAGTCGTAAATCAAAGAGTACCTGTATTTTTTTGAGATTGTATGTTCTGGTAACTCCTCATGGACTTTTTGCTACAAGCGTGACCATTTCTGGATTGCGCATAGATAAAACTCAGACTAAGTGGAGAAGCGTTTATTTATTTGCAATTTTAAAAGAGGGTGAAAAGTTATATTAGCTTTTGCTCAGTGTGATGAAGCCGGAAACTGGTTTTTATTATTATTATTCTTTGTTGCCTTTCTGTCATCGTTTTTCCTTTTCCTTTTCTTTTTCTGCACCTTCCAAACGTTTGTTTTTTCCTAGTTTAGTTTGTATTAGTTTTTTTAAAAAAGGTGAATAAAATTATTTGCTTCCTTTAAAAAAAAGAAGTGCTTGCTGAAAAAGGCAGAATGAACTTTGGTGGGTGCTGAAGTCTCCCCTGGAAGGAGATTCACGTCTTGGGTTTCAAGTGTTGACAGCAAAAATGTTTGTTCTCTGTGCAAAGACACACACACACACATATACACACACACACACCTGCCCCAATGTCTATTTCCAGGTAGTTTGGCTGAATGTTTTGCTGGTGCTTCTAAATACTGATACGGATTGTCGATACGTTTTCCAGGCCCAGACCAACCAGGAATAGATCATCTGCATTCACAAATTTGCACTTGCTTGTTTTTTGGTCTTCGTCCGCTGCGCGGAACTGGAATTGAACAACTGTTTGTGCAGCTGTGCGCCAGGAGGCTCTCGCATCAAAAAGGGAAAGAGGCTACAATTAAAGGCTCTTTTACAGACACAACAATTGGACAGCTAGGCGAACAGCCCCATAGGTAAAAGGAATGGGAGAATGGCCTTGCGAGGAAAGGGAGCCAGAGATGCTGCCAAGGGGACGGGGCAGATAAGGGACTGCTGAGCCCTCAGCTACATATTGGGTGGAGAATGAAGCTTCGAAGGAAATCTCCCTAGTTTCTTAAGCTGTAAAGGAGACGGCTGTTATAGTATATGGCAAAGGTCTAGGGAGGAAAGAGATGACCAGGCTGCACCTGAGGAAGGGGGTGTCAAACATGTCATCAGTCATGAGTCCCTGCGCACCTACAAGAGATGTAAGTCCAGCCCTCCTTGAATTCCTTTCTTAACTTTCCCTTGACAGTTAGTAGCTCAGATTCTTGTAGAGAGCTTAAGCTTGCGATCAACCATTATGCTCCTTTGAATTTGCCTGAATCTTGCCCGATTTTCCTGGCGCCCGAGAAGATGCCGCTAAGCGATAAGTTAGGTAACAGACTGCTTAGCCCACAGATGGGTAATGGGTGGAGGAAAATACTCTCAGAAGAGGTCCTCCCAAATTTCTCAGGGTGCAAAAGGAGATGGCGGGAGAATTGTGCTTTCTGACGGGGCAAGATTGGCAAAATTAACACTCCTGAGGTTGTGTTTCCTATCTTGTTTATACAGTAAGGCTGACAGTGGGTAATCTCCTTTGAAAGAAGGATCATAGGACTTTCTGGGGAGGAGAAGCTGGAAACGATCCCGCAAGGAAATGGTGGAGGAAATCGATTGGAGTCTTTGCTTAGCCGCTCCAAGGGTTCTCCATCCGTCCTCCAACTCCAAGGTTGCTGTTGAGGTTCTTCAAGTCTTGGCATGAGAAAAAGTAACAACCTGGACTAGGCTGGCTTCTTGGGGTTGGGGTCCCCAACTCCTTCCCAAGAGGCAACACAGTCTTTAAGTTTCCAGTGGGGTAGGTCTGTTCCCTTTCATTTGTTTCCCCCTGTCTGCAATCAAGCAGGCTCGATTAAAAGGAACTTGAGATCCTTCACCAGAAGGTACGGAGATCCGTCAGCTTTTACGGCTGCTATCGTAAGTTGTGATTGTTGCGTCTTCCTGCAGAAGTGGGCTTGTTTCCGAAGCTTCCGGATGATTGGGTGCTTGCAAAGTCCTTGTTGCTGCCTTTTTCTGGGGGAAAAAAAGGCAGAAGTTAGTTAGAATTGCACTGATCCTGAAATAGGTGAGGTTGGGTCGATTCCCTCAGCTGAGCCAACTTCCTGTTCTGGCCTCTCATCCTTTCCCACATTCTACAAACCAGCAGGCTGGCCCGGTTCCTCTTGCCACTGAATCCTGTGGTTTAGCCCAACCTGGTGTCCTTCAGAGATAAGGGAACAAACTGAGATTGTCTCCCGTCGCGGTTCCAAACCGCAGCATCAAACTCTCTGCAGTCCCCATGAGTCTGAGGAGATGATTTAATGTGATGCGCCTGAATCTCACCTCCTCCGGAGGCCTGTTGTTTTAATTAAATAAATCAAACCAAATGAAGGTTTTAATTACGTCAAGGAATTGGATTGGATTCCAACAGGCCATGGTTGGAATCTGGTTTGCGTCTATGAACCGCCGTTTTTGTGTTATATCAATATTGACCGTCTAAAAAGGAAGCCAAGATTTATTTCCTGTTTAGAGAAATGTGGCAAAGAGACAAGCTTGGGAGTGTGGCGAGGCTGTACGTTGGCCAAGCAGCCAATGTGATGCCAATATTTCTTTTCCTGGTTTCTTTCCTAAGGCCTGGGGGATGTCAACAATCCCTCATTCAAGGGCTCTTTTGAATAAGGTAGTAAAGTCACAGCAATGGGTCCTCACTGGTTTAAGAAATATGCCAAGCATCTAATCTCTCTCTGATGCAACACAGAATGATTGCTCTGGATTGCCACTAAAAGCAATAGTAACAGCACTTATATACCATTTCGCTGTGCTTTTACAACCCTCTCTAAGTGGTTTACAGACTCAGCCTCTTGCCCCCAACAATCTGGCTCCTCATTTTTCTGACTTCAGAAGGAGGGAAGGTTGAGTCAACCTCGAGCCGGTCGGGATCAAACTGCTGGCAGTCAGCAGAATGAGCTTGCTGTTATTGCATTCTAACCACTGCGCCATCATGGCTCCATAAAGGAGAATATTTGTAGCTCGGAGTTGAAATGAGGGATTCTTGATGCTCTCTGAGCTTGGTTGCTTTCTTGCAGACGTTTCATGACCCAGCTAGGTAACATCATCAATGGAAGGTGGAGGAGAAAGAAGAGGAGGAGGAGGAAGAGGACTACCATGGGGTCCTTTGATGCTCTCTGAGCTTGGCTGTTTTTCTTGCAGACGTTTCATGACCCAGCTAGGTAGCATTATCAGTGCTCATTTGGGTGATGAAATATTTGCAAGACTCACTAAGGACCCCACAGGCCTCCTTCCACTGATGATACCATCTAGCTGGATCATGAAACGTTTGCAAGAAAACCACTCAAGAGACCGCCAAGAATCCTTCTGGGTTGTCAACCTGGTTGGGTTTCCATTTTGAACACGAGAAGCCCTCCACAGGCAGAAGACTCCGGCTAAAGCACAAGGCCTCTTTGCAATTTGCACAATCCTTACCAACTCCCTGCCACAAGATTATCCCAGGTGCTACATTTAGGGAGTACAGGCAATCCTCCATTTATGACCGTAACTGAGCCCAGAATTACCATCCTAAGTCATGCTGGTCATTAAACAAGTCACTGATTTTATAACCTTCTTCCAGTGGCCATCAGGCGAAGGGCCACCGTAATTAAACAAACCTTGCCTGAAATGGAACCGAGTGGGGTTTTCTTTGCCAGAAATCAGCCTGTTTCTGGCAAAAAAAACCCAAAAACCCCTCACAAAAAAAAACATTGTAAATCTTGGTCAAGTCACTGGCGGGGCGCTGCAATTAGCTGAAAATGCAGGCTTGTTGCCAAGCAACCAAAAGGGGATAATGGGACGGTCAGAACTTCGAATCTGAGTTGTCAGCGGCTTCGGGGAAGGCCACTGGTAACTTGGAACGGTCGTAAATCGAGGATTTCCTGTATCTTCCTTCTTTCTAATGGGGCGGGGAGGAGCAGAGGTGGTATTCAGCTGGTTCTGACCGGTTCTAGAGAACCGGTAGCAAAAATTCTGAGTAGTTTGGAGAACCGGCAAATCCCACCGCTGACTGGCTCCGCCCCCATCTCTTCTCTGCCTCCCATTGAGTCCCAGTTGATCAGCTGGGTCTTCTTTGGTTGCCCTGCCCAGGAGAACAGAGCAGGAAAGCAGGTTAGTGGGGTGGGGAGGGAAGGGGGATTTTCCAGTATCCTTCCCCTGCCACGGCCACCAAGCCAGGCCCACCAAGCCACGCCCTCACAACTGGTAGTAAAAAGTTTTGAATCCTACCCCTGAAGTCATTCGGACCCAGACTCTCCAGGCCATGAGTTTGACAGAGATACCCATCCTACAAAATTTCATATATTATTATTATTATTATTATTATTTAGAAAGGGGCTCAACAGGAAGTTAGTCAGGTCCCAAGAGTGACGCCATCTGAGGTTTAAGCGAAGCAACGGACTGTAGGAACGGGTTCGATTCTTTTCAGTCTTTTTTTCTCCCTTTGCTGTTGTGTTATCAAACGACTGGGGTGGGAAGGGGAGAAGTTATAGAGGATTAAGTGGTTATTATATGGGGAAGGAATGAGTAGGGCAGGGATAAGGTTAGGGGGGGGCGCGGCATTAAAAAGCAGAAGCCGTTGGCTAAGATTAGCTGCCGCGAAGACGAAACACTTTTAAAGCAGGGAGCCATTCCAGCAGCCGTCTTAAAACTCGAGGTTTTAAAAGTGAGCCAAGCTACGTTTTGCTGTTAAAACACGCATTCGACGTTACCTTTTGCTTTTTTTTGGTTTGGCTTTTTTTTTTTTTCAGATGTCCGCCTACAATTTCATCTCCATCCATTGCAAGCTGGGCTTTTTCCTGGAGGCAGCGATTGCCCCTTTAGGTCCTGAGTATTTATTACTACGCCAAAATAAAAAGTTTTTTTCCTAGAAGATAATTAGCCTGGGTTTAAAACAGTTTTTAGATTAGATTTATCAGGACATTTACGCTACGGGTTGAAAGAAGGGAGAAGCTGCGTTTTTATTGGTTAGTTTATGTTCTTTTTAAAATTAAGTTTAGGAGGTCAGTCCTAAATTAAGCACATTTAAACAGTCAGGCTTATCATTTTAAATATGATTTATAAGCGATTAAGAAGTGAGTTATCATTAGGTGGTGAGGGTGTGCGACGTATGCAAAAACCCACCGAGGTACACAAACACACACAATTAAAATTTGACAAGTTGCTAGTATTGTGAAAAAAGATTCTTGTAAACATTCAGCAGATGAGTTAGGGAAGCTTGTAACGTTTGTTTTGAGTAACACGAGAGAAGAGAAGAGAAGAATTCGCTACTAGGCAGCTATTTCTTTTTCAATGTGATCCACTGAAGGATCCCTTACCAAAACACTGTGATAATTAATGTCAGATCTAGGTGGATTCTGTATGGCAACCGATCGATCCTTTTGCCATGACAGAGTCAACGTCTGTTGAGGAAGTAAACAGGTCCAACATGAACACGGGAAAATAATAAGGTTTAGAAAAGTGTGATTTGCTTTTTAACCTGTCTTTTCATCCAGCGCCAAAACGATTGCCCGGTCACCAGATTTAATGGGAAAAAGATTCAGAAACCTGCAGGAAACCTCATAAAGCTTTAATCGTCTTTTTTTTAATGACCCCCATAATCCCTTGTGGGGTGGAGGTCTGAGCAACTAAACAGACCTGATTTTTTTTACTGGCTGGATGCCTTTCCTGTCACCAATGCGGAGTTTTATTCGGCAGATATATTCTCATGGTGCTCAGAGAAACATCTGCCCCTACATAGGATCGAACTCGCAGCTCTAGGCCACCATACCAGTCCTCATAAAGCTTCAATGCCCATCCCAAAACATTCTGTGCCTGGACCGTGGATGAAGGATGACGTCTCCTTTTCGAAAAAAAGCCCAGGGCATCAGCATGGAAGCGAGACGTTTACAACCAACACACGGCTGAACTTACGTTACCCCTTGCAGAATAGAGGATAAGAGAGTTTGGAAGGGACCTGGGAGGTCTTCTAGTCCGACCCCACCCACCCCCAGCTGAAGGATTTTGCACTGTTGGCTCAGCCTCATGGGAGGTCGGATGAGACAGGCGTTCCGTTGAGGTCCATTAGACGCACCTTGTGACTTTGTGAGAGGTTGAGAAACGGCCTTCAACCAATTTGGGGTTTTATTGGTCAGATTGATTTGCTGTTATTGAAAGGGTTGGTTTATACGGTTATGGAAAAGTTTTAAAAGTTGAGATTCGATGTTGATGCTTCATTCTGCTGCAATGGAGGGAGCTGGAAGTCAAGACCCTTTCTCTCCTCCCCTCCCCTCCTCCCCCCTCCCCTCTTCTCTGCCACCTCCCCTCCCCTCCTCCTCCCCTCCCCTCTGCCCCTCTCCTCCTCCTCTCCCTGTTCTCTCTTCCCCCTCCTCTCCTCCCCTCCACTCTGCCCCTCTCCTCCCCTCTGCCCCTCCTCTCCTCTCTCCTCCTCCTCTCCTCCTCCTCTCCCCTCCCCTCTTCTCTGCCCCATCCTCTCCTCTCTCCCTATTGTCTCTTCCCACTCTTCTCCTCCCCTCCACCCTGGCCCCTCCTCCTCTCCCCTCTCCTCTGCCCCTCTCCTCCTCCTCTCCCCTCTCCTCCTCCTCTCCCCTCCCCTCTTCTC